TCTTCTCACTCTCTAAAATCCTGTTGAACAAACTAGATAAAAACTCCACTGCTGTCTCTCCTAGACACTTCCACACCTCTAGAGGTATGTCATCTGGACCAACAGCCTTTCCACTCTTTGTTCTCCTCAGAGCCTTCCTCACCTCATTCTTTCTAATCTTTGCTACTTCCTGCTCTACAATATCCACCTCTTCCCCTCTTTTTTCCCTCTCTTTTTCCTCATTCATCATTACTTTTTCCCCTATAAGTTCATTCATCAATTCCCCGCTCAGTTTTTCTGTTTTCATGTCTGTGTGTCTTCTGTGAAACAAAGGAAAATTTCCACTGCATACAAAGCCTAAATTATTTAACAGGCCAAGTGACAGCAAGCCACACTGCTGCAGTGCAGGTTGTATTTGACATATACTGAAGATATTATTTTAATGATTTGTACTAGTACATTGGTGAGGTGGTAGTGCTCCTTGAGAACTGAACTCTGGTGAGAATTCAAAAATTGCCTGTGATTGAATTATTTTTAACCACAAGTTAGCAGAAAGACTTATAGCATACATAGTCTATAAATACTACTACTACAAGTCAAGCATAGTGTCACGCAAAGTAAATGCTTTCTTGATTTCATTAAAGAGAAGCCTTAAATAAAACTAGGAATCTTTTTTTTTTTAAATAGATGAAGGCAAAACTTGTTAAGGTTTTATTCTGTAGGCCCTAGCATCTGAGAAAAAACAAGTATTATAACTTTATCAAAGACAGCTACTTTTTAAAGTTTCAGAAAAATATATATTTGAGCATAAAAGATAATATTGCAGTTAACAGATTTGGGTGTACTTATCAGTGGTTCTATGGTGAGAGCCTTTCTACGGGGGGTATCATCCTGCAGCTCATAGGTTTCATTCAGGCAAAACAAAATAACTGGAAAACATCACATTAACCAGTCAGTATTTTAAGACTGACAAGGAATGACTTCATCCTCACGAACAATTATTTTAGAAGGCAAGGGATGTTAGATGATTATTGATTTAAATTTGAAATCATAATGTACCTAATTTCATGTTGTAATCAATCAGATGGTGTTCATCATCACTGTGAAAGTTCCTCAGTTGCAGTTGGGGCCTATCCCTCAGTCACCAGTGTGAAAAGACAAATGATTGAATAAACTGGGCAGTATGCACTCACATTTACAGTGTGGTGGTGGGGCAAGCTGGTGAAAAGAAACTGTCCTCTTTTTTTCTCATGGCCCAGGCAAGGTTTCTGCTGACATGGTGAAATATTGATGTGGAATAAATTCCTGTCTAATTAGAGTGGCTGAATTAATCAGGGAGAATTTAATTAGCTGAGCTTCCTTTCAGTCAAGAGAAGGTTTTGATCTGAGCCACATGGCTGCTCTGTCTGATGTACAGTGGTTCACAGCCTTTGCAATATGAACTACTTTTGTTAGAAGCTTCAGTGAAAGGGAGCTTTTTGGTGACAGACTGTGAACTGTGTGATAGACCTGGCTATTATGGCACTGTATGCTTGTAATGGTCAGAAGAGAATTATTCATGTAGAGAAACTGCTTTCAAACCAATGATGGTAAGATGATGTCAGGGGGTAGCACTGGATAAGTCTGAATTCTTCCTACTCCATTCAAGCATGTACTAGGTATAAGCAAATTGATATTGGATTAGCATTTGTTGGATATGTGTAAAATTATGTGTGTTGGCATATCAACTGTCTTTACATGCTTGAAAGAATAAATCAAATCAAAATCAAATCTGTACAAGTCCTTCTCACCTTCCCTCGTGTCTAACCTGGCATACAACTCATCATATGCTTTCTGTTTGGCCATTGCCACCTCCCTCTTCACTCTACGCTGCAATTTCTTGTAATCCTGTCTACTGTCTTCAGTCCTTTCTACGTCCCACTTCTTTTTAGCTAGCCTCTTCCTCTGAATGCTGCCCTGTACTTCCTCATTCCACCACCATGTTTCCTTATCTTCTTTCCTCCTTCCAGATGACACACCTAGCACCTTCCTACCTGTCTCCCTGATCACTTCTGCTGTAGTTTCCCAGTCATCTGGAAGTTCTTCCTGACCACCCAAAGCCTGTCTCAACTTCTGTCTGAATTCCTCACGACATTCTTTCTTTTGCAACTTCCACCACTTAGTATAACACTTAAATAACTGTAATTACTACAAGTAGTAGACCTACAGTACTGACCCGAACATAACAGGATACTTTCTTCTGGAAATGATGTTTGACAAAGGTATTCTTGAGGACTAAGTATGTTTTTCCACAACATCAAATATCCTTTTTGAATGGAGAGAGGACCAGTGCAGCTATAAAGAGAGAGTTTTAAGTCAGTTTATATATCTTTTACAGTGGGTCTGCACTAAAACATATGATTTGCATGTTTAAATTTGGCATGTTTTTACGCCGGATGCCCTTCCTGACGCAACCCTCTCTATTTATCGGGGCTTGGGACCGGCACAGAAGTCACTGGCTTGCAAGCCCTGTGGCTAGAGTCAACTTTTGCACCAATTACAGCCTCAGATCTTTTTGAGTATGATGCTACAAGCTTGGCACACCTATTTTAGGGCCGTTTTCCCCATTCTTCTTTGCAGTACCTTTCAAGCTCCATCAGGTTGGATGGGGAGCATCGGTGTACAGCCATTTTCAGATCTCTGCAGAGATATACAATCGGGTTCCAGTCTGAACTGTGGCTAGGCCCCTTTAGGGCATTATCAAGGATGTGTCTATGTATTGCTGCAGTCATCTTTCCCTTGATCCTGACTAGTCTCCTAGTTCCTGCCGCAGAAAAACATCTCCACAGCATGATGCTGCCGCCACCATGCTTCACTGTAGGGATGGCATTGGCCAGGTGGTGAGCAGTGCCTGGTTTCCTCTAGACATGAGTTCAATCTTTGTTTCATCAGACTAGAGAGTTTTGTTTCTCATGGTCTGAGAGTCCTTCAGGTGCCTTTTGGCAAACTCCAGGCGGGCTGCCATGTGCCTTTTACTGAGGAGTGGTTTCTATCTGGCCACACTACCATATAGGCCTGATTGGTGGAGTGCTGCAGAGATGGTTGTTCTTCTGGAAGGTTCTCCTGTCTCTAAAGAGAAACGCTGGAGCTCTTTCAGAGTGACCATCGGGTTCTTGGCGACCTCCCTAACTAAGGCCCTTCTCTCTGGTGGTTCCAAACATCTTCCATTTATGGATGATGGAGGCCACTGTGCTCATTGGGACCTTCAATGCTGCAGAAATTTTTCTGTACTTTCTCCAGATCTGTGCCTTGATACAGTCCAGTCTCTGAGATCTATAGACAGTTCCTTGGACTTCATGGCTTGGTTTGTGCTCTGACATGCACTGTTCACTGTGGGACTTTATATAGACAGGTGTATGCCTTTTCAAATCATGTCCAATCAACTGAACTTTCCACAGGTGGACTCCAGTCAAGTTGTAGAAACATCTTAGGATGATCAGTGGAAACAGGATGCACCAGAGTTCAATTTTGAGTGTCATGGCAGAGGCTGTGAATACTTATGTACATGCGATTTATTTTGTTTTTTATTTTTATTAAGTTTGCAAAGATTTCAAACAAACATTTTTCACATTGTCATTATGGGGTATTGTTTGTAGAATTTTGAAAACAATAATGAATTTAATCCATTTTGGAATAAGGCTGTAACATAAAATGTGGAAAAAGTTAAGCGCTGTGAATACTTTCTGGATACACTGTATTTTCCTTTACCTCTTTCCAGGTGATGTTGTATAATGCTTACATCTGCTGTTGCTTCATATGCTTTCTTCTTTTTGAGGTTAATTGGAAATGTACTTTCCTTGGTATGGTTAAGATGTAATTCCTAAACCATGTGCTCTGTAACTTGCAGCCATAGTCTCTGTAGAGCCTGAAAACAATATTTCTTCTCACTGTTCTCTTTGTTACTACTGTTTGTTACTCTCTAGGAGACCATATATCGGTTAGTGGGCCAGAGGGTACTTTCAGTGTCCGCCCTCTTTGTGATGTCACATACCTTTACCTATTAGCAGCAGGCACAGGATTCACACCCATGGCTCGCCTCATCCGACTGGCCACACAAGACATTGACACCATCAGGTGGGAAATGCCAGAAGACTCGGATAAGGAGGCAAAACACTTAATAATAATGATACACATTTATGGATATGTCAGTTAAGTGTTTTGCCTCCTTATCTACTAAGTATTTTTATATGGGTTTTAGTTTTAGTTCCACATTGTCAAATACTTTGAAGGGATCACTTGTTTTGTGTGTTTTAAAGTTATTTACATACACTTAACACCACCTACTGTATAAGTACAGCACACTGGTAAAACTAAATCTGTATTTTTCTCTCTAGAACTTATTTTTTTGAAAAAGGGACTCAGCTATCCCATCCACTGTACATTTTTGGGAAGTCAGGCATACTGTGTTCCATTTTGTTGTCTCTGATAATCCACAAAATGTTTGTGTCCTCAGAAAAACCAAGCTGCTTTTTTTTAATCGACGGGAGGAGGACATTCTGTGGCGCTGTCAACTGGATGAACTGGCTGCTAATAATGAGAGGTACTGCAGCTGGATGTTTGTCTGTGTTTAAAGCTTTCTACTGTCCCTGTCATGATCTAACCAACAAATGTTAGAAATTAAAAATATTAGGTTGTGTAATATTTAAGTGAGGGCATGTGTGAGCTATTGAGCATTGTAGTAAACAACCACTGACAGTTGTTTTTATGTTTATTTTGTCAGTGTTAACCACAGCTGCCATGGTTAGCAATTTATTTGCATGTATTGAGGTCAGGTTTGACACATCGCCATTTGTAATAAAGTGTAGAATGCAGCCGATTTTAATTTTTATTGTTTATTCTGTTACATTTTGACCTCAGTATGTTTGGGTTATGTGTCAGATTTCAGGTGGAGTTTGTCCTCTCTGAGCCCTGTGAAAGCTGGACTGGCAGAAAGGGTCAGGTGGATGGCTCCATGCTCCAGGATTTCCTGGACAAGCCAGATGGGTCCCAATGCTTTGTGTGTGTTTGTGGCCCTACTACCTTTACAGAGCTAACAATAGGGTGGGTAATGTAGCCCTTACTGCACTGTCCTAATGCTCTGACAACCTACTGCAGCTTTATAGTGAATCATTAGAGAATTTTTCTGAGATTTGGTGATAGACAAATCAATAGGGGTGTGTATCTCTCCCTCTCACATAATTCAATACTTATTGTTTTACATGGTCCATGATTAGATACAAAAATTATAATCCAAAACTTTTAACGATAGGACACAGTATGATTTTGATTTGAATCAGCAGATATAAAAATAAGAGTTTAGTGTTTCCTCAAAGCCGTGAAAACCAAATAGCTAAAACATGATGTCTACTCTTTTTAACAATAGTAAACAATGGGCACTGATGAACAGTAAACCTTCAGCTGCTGTTTCACCCCATCATACAGAGCTGGATGCATTTTTTTGACTTAAATGCTCCTGACATGTTATTGTGTGCCTCAGCTTCAGAGTCACTGTCATTTGTCCAAATCCCACATTTTCAACGACACAGGCACATGTCCTTGCAAATGAAACAGTCTATAGTTTTTAGTTACAGTCAGTTATTGCGTTCAACCGAACCAGGTGGAATTACCAGCTAATGTGCTCTGAAAGTAGCTGCTAACAAAACTAGCACTGTTACTTGCCTCAAGCGAACTGTACTGTTTCCATTAGTTCAACAGTGTGTCACCTTCATAACATCACTACTTGCAAGGTCCATGGTACTCCTCCTGGTATACTCGACACAAGTGCGGCATGTTCTGCACTCTGAGGTAGCTGCTAACACTTGCACTGTTTGCTCCTGCAGCTATCTGAACTATGCATGCTGTTTTTCCTGGACCTGCATTGTTAAGAAGGGGCGTTTGAATGCTGGCAGGAGATGGTGCATATACACACATGAGAGAGGCACACAGTGAGAAGTAACAGAAAACTTGCCAAAGTTTGCTTTATGATATACATATCAATTTTAGACCATTTTGTAAACTCATTTGGTTTGCATCTGTGATTTTCAGCTGATGCAGCCACAAATCTTACTTGTATTGATTTTCTGATTTGTATCAGTTTACACCTCTACAAATCAACAAAGTCAGAAAGGGCCAGAAACATGAGCAGGCAGACAGATTGTAATAGCATGTTGAAACAACATTATTCACACAGGTTGCTTGTCCAATATTGCACAGAACCACTGTTTATCATTCATAATCTTGGAGCTTGCTCTCACTTTATCTTGGTTTTGTCTCTGAACTTGTCTGTCTTTCACCCTGACCTCCTTTCTATGTGGCTCATCTTTCAGGCTGTTGAAGCAGCAGGGCTTCAATGAAGAAGAGCTCCATGCCTTCCAGGGTTGATGAGCTCTGCCTCGACTCAACTCCGTCCTGTGTGCGTGGGAGAGTCAATTTTAATTTATAAAGCTGTGTTTTTGAAACATGAAAGAAATATTGTATTTCTATGCACCAAGAACCTGATGCTGATTCCAAACAAACACACACCAGGCTTTGCTGGGCTATTGAGAAGTGCTGTTAGATTTTTATGATTCTTGCTGGTTTTGGTCAGTGTCTGGAGCAAAGTTAAGAGTTCATGAGAACTCAGTTGAAATGTTATACAGGTGTGTAAAAAATAAAGGCAGTTAAATATGCTAAAGACAGAGGAATACCGAGGTTATGTAAATTGATGAAGTAAATGCAATATAAAATGAGAATGAACATGCAGCTGTGTTGCAGAGAATTTTTGGCAGACACACGACTTAATGTTCCTGTTAATTGGATACAGGTACATTCGAGTTCTAACCACTGCACTGAAATAAAATACACTATGGTGACATACTGTATGTATGCATTCTGCAAACATTAGTCTCTTGTTCATTAAGACTGGAGCATTTTTTAATTATTGCTCTGTTTAGAGTCTTGAACCACCTGATTTATAGGGCTCTGTTCAGGTGGTGTGGGAAAACTTAACCCAGGGCTAGTCATGGTCCAATTGTCATCTGCACAGTGCTCTTATTTGCTGTTAAAAGTCACTCTGTCTAAACAGTCTGTTGCAAAGTATCAGATTTATTGAGGACAACATCAAGAACATCCCAATGGCATCTGTTTCCTGTTCATGGAAATACTACAGAGCTTGAGACATTCTTTTTATACCCTTATAGCTCATCCTTGTCTTTCCACCTGAATCCCTGACCTACTGAGGGATATACTATTATTTCATTGGTCAGTATAGATTTCTAAAAAAAAAAATAAAGTGCCTATAAAAAGTATTCACCCTCCTGGATTTTTTGCCCTTTTATGGATTTTATAAATCAATCATGGTCAATATAATTAAGCTTTTTTGACCAAAAAAATTACATAAACCTCTTTAATGTCAATGTGAAAACAGTTTTCTGCAAAGTAATGTCAATTAAATAAAAATATGTAATGGGAAATGAGTGATAAGGGATAAATATTCATCTCCTTCAAGTCAGTATTTGGTAGATGCACCTTTGGCTGCAATCACAGCACTGAGTCTGTATGGATAAGTCTCAGTCAGGCTCGCACATCTGGACACTGCAATTTTACTCCATTCTTCTTTGCAAAACTGCTCAAGCTCTGCAAGGTTGCGTGGGGATCAGGCATGAACAGCCCTTTTCAAGTCCAGCCACAAGTTCTCTATTGGATTGAGGTCTGGGCTTTGACTCGGGCCACTCCAGAATACTCACCTTGTTGTCTTTAAACTATTTTTGTGTAGCTTTCACTGTATGCTTTGGGTCATTGTCTTGCTGGAAAATAAATCTTCTGCCAAGTTGTAGTTATCTTGCAGACTGATTAAGATTGTCCTCCAGGATTTTTCTATATTTTGCCGCATTCATTTTACCCTTTACCTTTACAAGCCTTCCATGGCCGGCTGCTGAGAAGCATCCCCACAGCATGATGCTGCCACCACCGTGCTTCACAGTGGGGATGGCGTGTTTGTGGTGTCCATCGAACATAGTGTCTTGTCTGATGGCCAAAAAGCACCATTTTTTTCACATCAGACCAAAGAACTTTCTTCCACTTAACCATGGAGTCTCCCACATGCCTTCTGGCAAACTCTAGTCGAGATTTAAAATGAGTTTTCTTTGCCGTTCTCCCATAAAGCTTTGACTGGTTAAGAACCCAGGCAACAGTTGTTGTATACACAGTCTCTCCCATCTCAGCTGCCTGCTGAAGCTTGTAACTCCTTCAGAGTAGTCATAGGTGTCTTGGTGGCCTCGCTCACTAGTCTCCTTCTTCCACGGTCACTCAGGTTGTGAGGACGGCCTGATCTAGGCAGATATAGACGTGCCATATTCCTTCCATTTCTTGATGATGAATTTAACTGAACTCGGGGACGTTCAGTGCCTTGGAAATTTTTTTTGTATCAATCCCCTGACTTATACTTTTCAATAACCTTTTCTCTGAGTTGCTTGGGGTGTTCTTTTGTCTTCATGGTGTAATGGTAACCAGAAATACTGATTAACCAGTGACTGGACCTTCCAGACACAGGTGTCTTTATACTACAGTCACTTGAGACACATTCACTGCACTCTGGTGATCCCCATTTCTATAATTGTGAGACTACTAGCACAAACTGGCTGGACCTCTGTTGAAGTAGGTCAGTCATTTTAAAGGGGGTAATATTTATGCAATCACTTATTTCCATATTACACATTTTTATTTTATCAAATCAAATTTTATTTGTATAGCGCCAAATCACAACAAAAGTCATCTCAGGACACTTCACAAAGTAAGGTCTAGACCTTACTGTTATCAATATTATTACATAGGGAAAACCCAACAAATCCCCCTTGAGCAAGCACTTGGCGACAGTGGGGAGGAAAAACTCCCTTTAACAGAAGAAACCTCCGACAGACCCCGGCTCTTGGTGGGCGGCCTTCTGCCTCGACCGGTTGGGGTGAGTGGATAGAGGAGAGACAAAAGAAGAAAAGCAACAAGACACAACAATCAAACACTGATCAGGTCGATGTGGCTGGTGACTGCTCGTCAGAGACATAGAGCTCCAGGGCCAGGGCAACCTGCAGAAAGGTACAGGGAGAGAGAGAGGACACACTACGGGAGAGAGGAGACACAAAGTTAGTAATGTGTAATGGAGGCATATAGAAGCATAGGGAGAGAGAGGAGAGGAGAGCAGAGCAG